TCTTTTTTATTAAAGATTTAAATTATTTCTTTGAAAGGCAGAGTTACAGAGAGAGAGAAAAGGAGACAGAAATAAAGATCTTCTATCTGCTGATTCACTCCCCAATCGGCCACAATAACTGGGCCAGGCTGAACCCAGGCCCTTCTAAGGTCTCCAACATGGGTGCAGGGGCCCAAGCACTTGGGCCATCTTCCACTGTTTTCCCAGGTGCATTATCAGGGAGTTGGATTGGAAGTGCAGCAGCCACGACTCAAACTAGTGTCCATATGGGATGCTGGCATGGCAGTCGGTGGTACCTTAACCTGCTGGACCACTGCACTGACCTCAACCATGACTTTTTTTTTTTTTTTTTTTGCGAGGTAAAGAGAGAAAAAGGGAGAGAGTGTGTGTGTACTGTTCTATCTGCTGGTTCATGTCCCAGTGCCCACAATGGCCACAGCTGGACTGGGTAGAAACCAGAAGTGAGAAGTCAGGAACTCAATCCAGGTGTCCTACATGGGTGGCAAGAACCCAATTACTTGAGTCATCACTACTATCTCACAGTGTCTGCATTAGTGGGAAGCTGTAGTTAGGAACTAGGGCATGCTTATCAAACCCATGGGTGTCTTAACCAATTTTAACTGCTAGGGTAGCCCACTCCTTCAGCAAGGATTTTTAAAAGTTTTTATATTTAAAGGACAGTTTCACATACTACTGGAAATAAACTGTACCAATTTTTAACTGAAAATAAGTCTTAAATTATGTTATGTCAGTGGTTCTGAAATTATATTCTATCTGAGCATTTCACTTCTTGGTTCCTCTTTTCCTTTGTCTCTTTAAAGTTCCTTTCTAAAGGGTTTTCTTTACCAAATTACTATAAGAAAGTATAAACTTTCCAGTCTTTCCCCATCCATTTCCAAGACCCTGAAATCTTCTCAATATGTCTAACACTTAAAATATGGCTTTATACAGTATAAAAATGCATTTATAGGGACTGGTGTTGTGGTGCAGCATCTTAAGCTACCGCCTGCGAAGCCAGCATCCCACATGTGCAGCAGTTTGAATCCTGGCTGCTCCACTTCCAATCCAGCTCCCTGCTAATGCATCTGAGAAAGCAGCAGATAATGGCCAAAATATTTGGGCCCCTGCCACCCACATGGGAGACCCAGATGAAGCTCCTAGCTCCTGGCTTTGGCCTGGCCCAGCCCTGGCTGTTGTGGCTATTTGGGAAGTGACCCAATGAGATAGAAGATGGAAGATCTCGATCTCTCTCTCTCTCTCCCCCTAACTATGCCTTTCAGACCAATAAATAAATCTTTTTTAAAAAGCAGGGTTGGGGGTATAATTAAAAACGTATTTACAGGATGGGCATTTGGTGGAGCAGTTAAGATGCTGCTTCGGACCCCTGCATCCCAAATCAGAGTGTAAAGGTTAGAGTTCTGGCTCCTATCTTGACTTCAGCTTCTTGTTAATGCACACTCCGGGAAGCAGCAGGTGACAGCTGGGTCTCTGTCACTGCATGAGACCTGGATTCATTCCCAGCTCCAGACTTCAGACTGGCCCAGCTCACTCCCAGCCATTGCAGGCGTCTGAGGAATGAACCAGTGGAAATGAGCTTTCTTCTCTCTCTCTCTTTTTGCCTTTCAAATAAATAAAATTAGAAAAACTTTAATGTATTTATATTATTACCAAATAATAAAAATCAAGTTACTTATAGACAAATAAAAGTGCAGTTAGAATGGAAAATAAAAATGATTTACACGTTAAGGTAAAGAAATTCATTTTTATTTTTCATTACTTTCATTATATTACTTATGCAATAAAATGAATACCACCCCATTATAAACTGGTTAAAGTCCCTCTTCCACTCGTTGAAAATTATTCATAAATGTATTACTTAACTCTACCTATTCAGATTTTTCCATATAACTGTTTCAGGATGCTGGTAAATTTCTCTGGGCATTCAAACTGAAGAAGCAGTCACTGTAAAGTTTGTCGTATCATGGTTTTACTTCAAAGCTACAGACATCCCGCTCTTTGAGCTGGCAGAAATCAACCAGAAATACATTCTGTGATCAAAACCAATGCAGCCCCAATAGTACACTCTGACAGTGAACAGAAATGGGCTGAAATTACTAAATGTAAGTGACTTAATCTGTTATTTCAAAGCACCTTCTCTAAAGAGGAAGTTAGAATGGTTTCACAAGCTCAAGGGTGGGGAAAACATACTGACTTGCAGAAAGGTCCAATGGTAAAGGAATGGGCAGAGAAACCAGGACCATAGTAACCTTTGATGACCCACTGATTTTGTTTTTCATTAAAATTAGAATGTCCACCACACAAAACAACAAATTTGACCAGACCACAAAGAATGGTCATTCCCTCATCCCCGTTCTTCCTGCAAACCACTTCAAAGTACTGTGTAGGAGGAGGAAGTAAGTAGGTAAGTAAACCCAGTTGGACAAAAGATACCCATATCTGGCCGGCGCCGTGGCTCAATAGGCTAATCCTCCACCTTGCGGCGCCGGCACACCGGGTTCTAGTCCCGGTTGGGGCGCCGGATTCTGTCCCGGTTGCCCCTCTTCCAGGCCAGCTCTCTGCTATGGCCAGGGAGTGCAGTGGAGGATGGCCCAGGTGCTTGGGCCCTGCACCCCATGGGAGACCAGGAAAAGCACCTGGCTCCTGGCTCCTGCCAGGATCAGCGCGGTGCGCCGGCTGCAGCGGCGGCCATTGGAGGGTGAACCAGCGGCAAAGGAAGACCTTTCTCTCTCTGTCTCTCTCTCTCACTGTCCACTCTGCCTGTCAAAAAAAAAAAAAAACAATGCTTTTATGAAGATACCCATATCTGTGAAGGGACCTTTCCTCATAACAAGGCCAAGAAGTTTTGTCTGTTCTTATGCCTCCACACTAATCTAACAGAATCCTGAAAATAACTTGGATTTGTTTTACTCTCACTTGTTTGCCACTTTTATTGCCATTGTAGATAAAGACAGGAATGTCTCCTTTCCTTTCTATAACTCAATTCTATATTTACAAGAACCTATCAAGACTTCTGAGTAGTAGTAGCAGTAGTAAATAAAGGTGAACTAGAAAATAATCCAAAAGACCAACAACAAAAAGAAATGCCTGCTTTAGCTGGAATCCAGATCACTAGAATCATTTGATGAAAAGTTTTTGGGGGTAGTCATTTGGTTGTGATACCCACATCCCATATTGGCATGCCTGAGTTCAAGTCCTGACTCCACTAGCAAGTCTAGCTTCCTGCTGATACATACCCTGGGAAATAGCAGGTGAACTCACAGAGTTGTGTTTCCACAACCCATGAGGGAGATCTCAATTGAGTTCCTGGCTCCTGGGCATCTGGAGAGTCAAATGGATAGGAATTTCCTCTGTCTCTGTTTCCCAAATAAGTAAGATGAGTTGAAAACAACCATAAACCAAAAAACCTGGGGCAGGCATTTGGCTCAGCAGTCAAGAAGCCTAAACTCCATGCTGGAGTGCCTAGTTCCTCTCCCCAGTCCAGTTTCCTGCTAACATGCAATGTAGCAGACAGCAGATGATGGCTTAAGTACTTGGATCCCTGAAACCCATACAGGAGAGAACTGAGTTCTGGGCTCCTGGTTTCAGTCTGGCCCAACCCCCACTGTTGTGGTCATCTGGGGAGTAAACCAGCAGATAAAAGATTGATCTCTCTCTGCCTACTCTGCCTTTCAAATAAAATGAAAATTTTAAAAAGAAGGGAAAAGGTGCCAGCATTGTATAGTAGTGAGTTAAGCCACTGCCCGAGATATTAGCGTCCCATATGGGTACCAGTTCTGATCCCCACTGCTCCACTTCCAATCTAGCTCCCTGCTAACAACCTGGGAGAAGCAGCGGAAGATGGCTTAAGAGTGTGGGCCCCTGCCACCGACACGGGAGACCTGGAGGAAGCTCCTGGCTACAGCCTGATCCACTCCCAGCTGTTGTGGCCATCTGAGGAGTGAACCAGTGAATGGAAGACCTACCTCTCTCTCTCTTGCTCTCTCTCTCTGTAACTCTGATTTTCAAATAAATAAATAAAGCTTTAAAAAGGGGGGGAGGGGGTGACCTCAGAATCTTTGTTTAAGAAAAATGTTTTTTGGGGCTGATGCTGTGGCGTAGCAAGTAAGGCTGCCACCTGCAATGCTGGTATCCCATATGGGTGCCAGTTTGAGTTCCGGCTCTTTGCTATGGCCTGGGAAAGCAGCAGAAGATGGCTCAAGTCTTTGGGCTCCTGCACCGGCACTGAAGTTCCAGAAGAAGCTCATGGCTTCAGATCAGCTTACCTGTGGCCATCTGGGGAGTGAACCAGGGGATAGAAGACCTTTCTCTCTCTCTGCCTCTGCCTCTCTGTAGCTCTGCCTTTCAAATAAATAAATAAATCTTTAAAAAAAAAAAAAAGTTTTTTTTTTTTAAAGAAAGTGAATAGTCTTCACTGTGAAACAGTCCCTCATTTGAAAACTCAGTGGAAAACTACAAAGATAATGTTTGGGAGTAGAGTCTCCCATGGCCTCAAAAGGTACAAGAAAGGTACAATGGGAAAAGAAATGGTTGATCCACCAGAGTAGCAGAGAGAGGGAGGGAGAGAAAGGCAAAGAAACGAAAAACCTAAACCATATTTCAGTACTGCATTTGAAACATTAATCAAAACCAACCCTCCTCTAGTAGCTTGCTCAGAAGTCAAACACAGTGAAGGAAAAATCCTAACACACCCACAGGATTCCCATGAGCCTGAGCCAAATTCAATGATCAAGACACTGTAGTGAAACTAACATAATTTTGTACATTTGGCTGCCTAAAAGCCCATGACTAAATTGATGCTTTATAACTCTAGAACAAGAAAAACACTGTTACTCAAAAGATAACTGAATTTTACTTGCCCCTTTTCCTCTTATACCATTTACTAACAGTCACAACTCACTTTAATCACCAGCTACATAAACATCTCCATTATTAGAATGAGCATTTGACAAAGCAGTCAAAACGCTAGATGGGACACTCACATCCCAAACCACAGTCCCTGGGTTTGATGAAGGCCATCTGTCCCAGCTTCCTGCTGATGTGCATCCTGGGAGGCAGCAGGTGATGGCTCAAGTTCTTGGGTCCCTATCACCCTTGTGGCAGATGCAGATTAAGTACTTGGTCCCTGACTTGGGCCTGTTGCAACTCCAATTGTTGTGGGCACTGTGGGAATGAAACAGTGGATGGAAAACATCTGTCTTTCAAATAAATAAGATAAACAGTTTGAAAATCTCCACTCTTAAACAAAAGGACAATATCTGAAACATACATAATGCCTCATTATTAAAATAGGAAAAGGCAAAACTATCATTTAATGAATAAAAGTATTAGCATATTGATTTCAGAGTAATCTTATTTTCTCTTCCCCAGTATCACTGCTACCTAACAACTTTTCTATGATCGCCTATAATTAGCTTTTATCATGTCCCATCTTCTAATCTCATAACTATACCAACCTCAATTTATCTACGAAATATTTTCAAAATACATGAAAAATATGCCAAGCTGTATATACAAGGGTTCTCCAAAAAGCATATGGAAATATGTTTATTATGGACTATAGAGGCAGGTATTTAGAACAGCTGTTAAGAAGCTGTTTAGGATGCCTGCATTATCTTATTGAAGTGCCTGAGTTTAAATCCTAGTTCTCCTTCAGATTCGAGCTCCCCACTATGTACACCTTAGAAAGCAGTAGCTGAAGTACTCAGATCACTGCCACCCATGTGGAAGACCTGGATTGAGTTCTAGCTCCTGGCTTGGGTCCAGCCCAGCCCCAGCTGTTGCAAGCACTTGGGAAGTGAATCAGCAGACATAAAATCCATTTCTGTCTCTATGCCTTTCAAACACAAATTTTTTTTAAAAGATTTATTTATTTTACTTGAAAGTCAGAGTTACACAGAGAGGGAGGGAGGGAGGGAGGGAGGGAGGGAGGGAGGCAGAGAGAGAGAGAGAGAGGTCTTCCATCTGATGGGTCACTCCCCAATTGGCCGCAACGGCCAGAGCTGCGTCTGAAGCCAGGAGCCAGGAGCTTCTTCCGGGTCTCCCATGGGGTGCAGGGGCCCAAGGACTTGGGCCATCCTCCACTGCTATCCCAGGCCATAGCAGAGAGTCAGACGGAAGTGGAGCAGCCAAGAAAGACTCAAACCGGCGCCCATATGGGATGCCGGCGCTTCAGGCCAGGGTGTTAACCCACTGCGCCACAGCACCGGCCCCCCAAACACATTATTTAAAAAAGAACAGAAAAAGTAACAACTATGCAAGGCTTACAAATTTTCTGCACCAAAATACTTATTTTTAATGCCATTTTCCATTAGCTTTTTGAACCCACCTCACATAACAGGTTTTTTTTTTTTTTTAAAGATATATTTATTTATTTGAAAGTCAAAGTTACACAGAGAGAGAGGTCTTCCATCCACTGGTTCACTCCCCAATTGGCTGCAACAGCTGGAGCTGTGCTGATCCAAAGCCAGGAGCCAAGAGCTTCTTCCAGTCTCCTACATGAGTACAGGAGCCCAAGGACTTGGACCATCTTGTACTGCTTTCCCAGGCCATAGCAGAGAGCTGGATTGGAAGTGGAGCAGCCAGGACTCAAACCAGTGCACACATGGGATGCCAAAACTGAAGTTAGCGGCTTTACCTGCTACGCCATAGCGCCAGCCCCACATGACAGGTTAATAAAAATTCCTCCTTAATCTAATTATTAAGAAAAGATGTCTTTTAGCTGAATTTACTAGAAAACTGAAGTTAATTCTTTTAAACCCTAAAATAAGTTTTAGACATACTATATTTGTAGAGTAAACTGTAACTTTACTGCACAAACAATTTAACTATAAAAATGATACTTAGGGTCTGACACTGTGGCAGAGGGTTAAGCCAGTGCTTGCAAAAGCTGACATTTAATATCAAAGTGCTAGTTCTGAGTCCTGGCTACTCTGCTTCCAATCCAGCTTCCTGGTATTATGCCTAGGAAGGCAGTGAAGGAATGGCCGGGGTGCCTGGGCCCCGTCACTCATGTAAGAGACAAGGATGGAGCCCCTAGTTTTGGATTGGCCTAGTTAGACTGTTACAGCCATTTAAGTAGTTAAACCAGCAGATAGAAGATATCTCTGTCACTACATCTTCCAAATAAATAATAAATAATAATAATTTAACCACCCAGCCAACTCAAGTTAACAAAATAAGATAAGGAAATGGCGGGGCCGGTGCTGTGGTGCAGTGGGTTAGAGCCCTGGCCTGAAGCACCGGCATCCCATATAGGCGCCGGTTTGAGTCCCAGCTGCTCCTCTTCTAATCCAGCTCTCCCCTATGGCCTGGGAAAGCAGTGGAGGATGGCCTAAGTCCTTGGGCCCCTGCACCCATGTGGGAGACCTGGAGGAAGTTCCTGGCTCCTGGCTTCGGATCGGCACAACTCTAGCCATTGTGGCCAATTGGGGAATGACCCATCAGATGGAAGACCTCTCTCTCTGCCTCTACTTCTCTCTGTAACTCTGTCTTTCAAGTAAATAAAAAATAAATCTTAAAAAAAAAAAAAAAAAAAAGGAAAGGAAATGGCAAGGACTCTTAACAAGGCAAATACAAGATACAATATATTTTATTTTTTTCTGGATGGTAGAGAGAAGCCATTGGATTGTTTCATAAAAATATGATGTCCTCAAGCCCCAACGCAATGTGTTTATAAAGCCAAATGCTGCAATGCTTAACATGCCATGCCAGTTTTAAGATTAAATTTTTTCCTTCCTTTTCATCAAAAGTCATTTTTTGTTATTGTTGGTAGGTTGAGCTATGGTGAACCTTCGTTCTGTTCTGCAATCTGTCTCCTTTAATTTTCTCTGAGCTTTTTCAAAACCTGTTAGTAAAGTTATGTCAAGTTCAAGTGACTATGCTCTTGAAAACTTCAGAAGTACACCCTTGAGAAAAGTGAGTAAGTTTCAGGGTTCAGACTTTTATTATACAGACTTCTTAGCTTATGCTCTAGTTTCTAGTTTTCAGCGGTGCATACATAACACTTTTCTAGGGAAATAAAACTAAAGAGATCCTATGAGTGCAAAAATATGGTTGCATAAAGATGGGCCACTTCATTGTATAAATAGGTCAAATAAAGCAGATATAGGAGAAGCTGATACAGGTATGATTTATGTGAGTCAAAAATAATCACTGGGAACAGGCATTTGCCCTAGCAGTGTGCCAGCAGTTAAGACTCCTAATATCCTATATCAGAGCTACCTGGGCTAAACTACCAGATCCAGCTCCTGATTTCAGCTTCCTGGAAGTAATGATTACAGTTCAGGTAATTGAGCCCCTCCTACCTACTTAAGAGATGTGCACTGGGTTCCCAGCTCCTAGCTTTAACCTAGCCCAGTCACTGGATGTAGCAGGCTTTGGGAAGTAAGTCAGCAAATGAGTTCCCTCTCTAACAGCACCTCTGCGTCTCAAATGAATAACTAAAAAAAATTTCTAAAATACTCATTGTACCCTGGTTCATAAGAGATTTTTGCCCTAGGCCTGAGCGAAGGGAGACTAGTTTGAAGATCAGCCAAGTAATATCAGCCTTATGAACTCTAATAATTCAAAATTATTTTCAAAAAATAAATGCTTTTTTGTGTTCCAGTATATGTAATAAACCAAGTAAATAAAACAATTTGTAATTAGGAGTCCTTGGGTACATTTCTAACACAAATAAATAGGAAGCATACATGAGAATTCAGGAGATGGGCATTTAACACAGCAATTACACTGGTTGAGTCAACTATATCCCATATTAAAGTGCCTGGGTTCAAGTCCTGGCTCTGCTTCTGATCCAACTTCCTGCTAATGTACAACCTGGGAGTCAGCAGGGTGATGGTTCAAGTACTTGAGTCTCTGCCTTCCACAAGGGACATCCAGATAAAGTTCCCAGTTCCTGGCTGTATCCTGGCCCAGCACTGGCTGTTTCAGGTTTAAACACCTTAAACGGAGTCCAATAGATGAAAAACTCTATCTTTCAAATAAAGATAAATAAATAAAAACTGTAAAACATGGTAGAAAAAGGAATGAAACTTTGTATACCAGGGTGCAAAAAAAATACTGAAATCCATGCAGTTTTTTTAGACTATGTATTTTTAATGAACTTTTTAAATAAAGACCCCTCTTAAGTAGCATGGATTTCAAAATTTTTTACACCAAAATAAGCTTATATTTTAATTCAACTTTCCATAAGCTTTTGAAGTGCCCTAGGACAATTAACATGTCAAATATAAATGCCGGCCTGCGCCGCGGCTCACTTGGCTAATCCTCCGCCTGCAGCGCTGGCACTCTGGGTTGTAGTTCCGGTCGGGGCACCGGTTCTGTCCCAGTTGCTCCTCTTCCAGTCCAGCTCTCTGCTGTGGCCAGGGAGTGCAGTGGAGGATGGCCCAAGGCCTTGGGCCCTGCACCTGCATGGGAGACCAGGAGGAAGCACCTGGCTCCTGGCTTTGGATCGGCGAAGCGCACCAGCCATGGCAACCATTTCGGGGGTGAACCAACAGAAGGAAGACCTTTTCTCTGTCTCTCTTTCTCTCACTAACGCTGCCTGTAAAAAAAAAAAAAAAAAAAAAAAAAAAATACAGATGTCCCTGACCAACTCTTAGGTTAGCCAGTGCCTCTATGACTCTACCATAAACCAAATGTTTATGAAGTCTAAAGACTTTATATGGGGCTGGCGCCGCGGCTCACTAGGCTAATCCTCCGCCTTGCGGCGCCAACACACCGGGTTCTAGTCCCGGTCGGGGTGCCAGAGTCTGTCCCGGTTGCCCCTCTTCCAGGCCAGCTCTCTGCTGTGGCCAGGGAGTGCAGTGGAAGATGGCCCAAGTACTCGGGCCCTGCACCCCATGGGAGACCAGGATAAGTACCTGGCTCCTGCTATTGGATCAGCGTGGTGCGCTCGCCACAGCGCGCTGGCCACAGCGGCCACTGGAGGGTGAACCAACAGCAAAAGGAAGACCTTTCTCTCTGTCTCTCTCTCTCACTGTCCACTCTGCCTGTCAAAAAAAAAAAAAAAAAAAAAAAAAAGACTTTATATGGCACTAAACAAATGAAATATATGCTAAAACATAACAAACAGGGCCAGCATTGTGACATAGCAGGCAAAGCTGCCTGGGATGCTGGCATCCCATATGGGAGCAGGTTCCAGTCCCAGTTCTGACCCAGCTCCCAGCTGGCAGCCTGGGAAAAGCAGCAAATGATGGCACAAGTGCTTGGGTCTCATTCCCCAGTGCTCAGGCCTTGCCGCCTATGTGGGAACCCTCACTGTTGCAGCCATCTGGGGAGTGAACCTGTGAATAAAAGATTCTCTCTGTCTCTCCCTCTCTCTCTGTAACTCTGACTCTCAAATAAATAAGCTTAAGTAAAAGTAGCAAAGAAATAAGATAACAGTTTGCATCTATAAAACTGGTAAATATGGAAGAAAACCATGACACCCGTTGTTGCTGAAGTACAGAGAAAAATCTGATTCCTTACTCAGGGATTTGAATCTCTCTTGAAGGCTATCATCTAATAAAATAGTCACTTGTTAAACCCTAACAAATAATAAGATTCATTATTGTAAACTCTAATAAGTTTCCTAAGGAAATAATTAAAAAGTAACATAAAAGTATTTATTAAAGGACTTATAATTGCACAATCTAAAAATAAACAACAGCAGTGAGAACAAACTGCCTCTAAAAGGTCTGCAAAGCATTCAAGGGAAACACCCAGAGACCTGTCTGAGGAGTGTCAGGACAGAGCTGTTAATCTTATCTGCCAGGTCACTTTGACTTGGACGATATGCACATAGATCTTAGCCATCTGAAACACACTTGCACAATCCTTTGTCCTTTATCTATACATTCCTTACCTATTCTCAGAAACTCCTCTTGAAATTAATCAGTAGTATTCTTTTCAGTTGCCTCTTCACAAAGACAGTACTCTTTATCTGAATTTGTCTGTAACCAATCGCACTATTTAAAAAAGGAATCTCCAACCTGTGACAAAATTCTCTGCTGCATACCTGAAAGCCTACCTTTTCAGACCAAGCCAGTTATGTTCACTGTGTAATAATAAATGAAATTTTACTCTGTGAAATAAACTCCGATTAGAATTAGACCACTTTGAAACACTTCCCAAGTCTTAGGAAGTTACTAGGCTCAAGTCTCATAAGCCTATGTTACTCATACTCTACCCTGAATAAACCTTTTATTAACCTTATGACATAGTCTATTTCTATTGACAGAGGTTTAGTTAAATAATTGTCTTATCTGATGATATAGAATAATGCTGTCAATATTAAGTGAAAGAAAGGACAGTAAACCCCAAAAAATATTGAGATGGGGCAGATATTTGGAGCAGCAGTTAAAATACTGCTCAGGACACCCATATCCCAAATCAGAGTACCAATTCCAGCTTCCTGCTAATGTACATGCTGAGAGGCAGCAGGTGATGCCTCAAGTGTTTAAGATTCTGCTACCCCGGATTCTGTCCCGGTTGTCCCTCTTCCAGGCCAGCTCTCTGCTGTGGCCAGGGAGTGCAGTGGAGGATGGCCCAAGTCCTTGGGCCCTGCACCCCATGGGAGACCAGGATAAGTACCTGGCTCCTGCCATCGGATCAGCGCAGTGCGCCCGCCGCAGTGCGCCAGCCACAGTGGCCACTGGAGAGTGAACCAACAGCAAAAGGAAGACCTTTCTCTCTGTCCCTCTCTCACTGTCCACTCTGCCTGTCAAAAAAAAAAAAAAAAAAAAGATTCTGCTACCCATGTGAGAAACCCAGACTGAATTCTGGGCTCTTAGCTTTAGCCTGGCCCAGTCCCAGCTCTTGTCAGCATTTGGGGAGTGAATCAACAGATGAAAGATCTCTGTCTCTCAAATAAATAAAAAATTTTGAAACTGCATTGAGACATACACAAGGGGGCTTCAAAAGATTCATGAAAAATGTGCTTTATCTTTTAATTTCATTGTCCACAAACTTACTGAAGCTCTCTCATAGAACAAATTAGAAAGAAAACTTAACTGGTAGTAATTACTCTCTAGAAGACATTATATATGATTTTCCTTTGAACTTTATAACTTTTTATATTGCTCTAATATTTACAATGATTACATATGAAATAATCACATAAATTATTTGAAAATGAAATCAAACCAAACCTTGCCCATATCCTCGAAACACTGACAAAATACGGAGGTACTGGAGCCAGAGTTGCGGCATACCAGGTTAAGCTGCCACCTGTGATGCCAGCATCCCATGTGAGCACTGGTTTAAGTACCAGCTGCTCTACTTTTAATCCAGTTCCCTATTAATGTGCCTGAGAAAACAGCAGAATCTGAGTGCTTTGTTCCCTGCCATCCATATGGCAGACCCAGATGGGAGTTCCAGGCTGTTGACTTCAACTTATGGCCTAGGAAAGCACAAGATGGCTCAAGTGCTTGGGCCCCTGAACCCACATGGAAGACAAGCAGGAGCTCCGGATCGGCCCAGTTTCAGCCACTGTGGCCATTTGGGAAGTGAACCAGCAGATGGAAGACCTCTCGCTCCCTCTGCCTCTGCCTCTCTGTAACTATGCCATTCAACTAAACAAATAAATCTTTTTTAAAAATTGAGGTATTGCCAAGAAAAACATTATTTTAAATTTTTGTTTATTTATTTGAAAAACAGGGAGAGACAGATGGAAAGGGAGCAACAGAGTTTTTTTTTAAAGATCTGTTTATTTACTTTGAAAGCCAGAGTTACAGACAGAGGGACAGAGAAAGAGAGATCCTCCATCTGCTGATTCATTCCCCAGATGGCTGCAATGGCCAGGGCTGAGCCAGGCCAAAGCCCGGAGTCAAAAGTTTCGTGGGGTCTCCCACATGGGTGGCAGGGGCCAAAACACATTGCATTTTCCAGGCCACTAGCAGGGAGCTAGATTGGAAAGGGAGCCACCAGGGCAAAACCAGCATTCATAGGGGATGCTGACGTAGGCAGTAGCTTTACTGGCTATGCCACAATGCAGGCCCCAAACAGAGACAACTGAGATATCTTCTATTTTTTGGTTCATTTCCTAAATGCCTGCAAGATCAATGGTTTGGCCAGGCTGAAACCAAGAGCTTGGAACTTATTCTGGATCTCCCACAGGGGTGGCAGGGACCCATGCAATGAGACTACCACCTGCTACCTCTCAAGGTGCTTGTTAGCAGGAAATTGGGATCAGAAGTAGAGTCAGGACTCAAACCCAGGCACTCTGACATGGGATGCAGGCATCCTGAGTGACATCTTAATGGCTATACCAAATGCTCGCCCAAGAAAAAAAATGCTTTCAAACAAGGAAATAAACAGCACATAGTTTATAACAAGGAGAAAAATTTTAAAAAGCTCATACTTGCATATTCTATTCCCTTATACAAATAATATTTCAAGGAATACACACCAAACAATTTTCTCAATGGAGGTAAAATTACAAGCATTCATACTTTGCTATAAATTTATGCAACTCTGGAATTTTTATAATGAATATATTTTATTGCAGTAAGCAGCTTACGATAGAAATCTCACTAATGTTTAAGTTTAAAATGAATGAGGGAATGCAAGAAAACATTAGTTCAAGAGTTCAATAAAAACTGTCACCCCAAAGACAGGTAGCTACTAGTTTGAAGTACACATTTTGTCAAAGTTAATAATATTTTATCTTTTATACTTCATTATAAGTCAGTTACATCAGATTCACAGAGCTATAAAATAATCATGTATGTTATAATTACAAATGCAGTATTTCTTGAAAACTTTGTTTCACAGTGACCTGCTTCTAGTAAAGCACTTTATTTTACTTTCGAACCAAAACTTATATGTTAGTTCTTATTGGGCACACCAGAGATTATTCTCATGTCAGTCAGACATGAAGGCTACTATGGTCACTAGAGTCAAAGACAAAATTAAATTCTCTCACCTTCCTAACTGGTCATCCTGGACATAGGATTATATAATAATGTGGGAAGTTAATATAATTTTAATATTATTCACTAATCAGTGCAGTCACTGCTTCAACATCCCCACATAAAAGATACCTGATGATACGGAATAATCAACACAGTATATTTAAATACCCGAAAGACAGTAAATGCAAGAAATCTAAAGGTGAATAGGAAGAATGTCCCATATAAAGAACTGAATTAAGGCCTAAACTAACAACCATACCAAAGTATAAAAATTCTAATCATAAAAAAGCCAGTGATCCACCAACATTTCTTATCTTAATCTTCTCAATCTTAAATTGATGTGAATGTTCAAATATAAGCCAAAAAATGTTCCAAAAAATAATTGAAACTTAAATTTTTTTTAACCAAAGAAAAAGAATTCTTTGTCCTAACCTGGTCCACATACAGATAAATCCCAACGGCCCTGATATCAGTACTGCCACACAGTTAGTGTGGCAAGTTAGATAGATTTACAGTATATTTACTAACTGAGAGGTGGTGTTTTAATACAAAGGATGTAACCTTGGTTTAATCATAGCTGAGTGCATAAAGAGGTTTATGCTGTCAGTGCTGTCCTAACAACAGGAAGTTAAAAAGCTTCAAGGAGGATACAGCACAGCCTTGCCTATGAATGATTAAAAGTGTTCAGTTCAAGATCAAAAGGTGAAGTTGGCAGCAGATGTTTAGCTATTAAGACACCTGTAACCCATGTACTTGGGTTGGATTCCCAGCTTTGGTTCCTGGTGCCAGCTTCCCGCCAATGCAGACCCCAACAGGCAAAAGTGATGGCTCAAACAGCAGGGTCACTGCCACCCATGTGGAAGAGCTGGATTGCATTCCTGGCTCCTGTACTCAATTTTGGCCCTGCCCTAGTTATTGCAGGCATCTGGGAAGAGAATAAGCAAATGTAAGCTCTCTCTCTGCCTCTCAAATAAATAAATTTTGAAAAATTATAATGAATATATTAAAAAGTTTTAAAAGTATATATTCTTTACAAAATACAACTGTGTTCAACCATTTTCAAATATTTCTATAGTAAGTACTGACATCCTATTTTAACCATATTAGTCCTGATTTTGTTCCCTCAACACTCACCTTGGTTATATGCCAATTATTTGGAACTTACAGTTTTTTATTACCTAAACAAAGTAGTGTAACCAATACTCTTCATTTAAGTTGAAATTATGCCTCCAACTTTTAAAAGTAACTACATTGAGTAAAGTTTATGATATAGTTAACCAAAAGACTTGGAATTTACCATATTAAAAAAAGTTTGGTGGAAAACAATGGGTCTATGTCTCCATTTCTGGAAATTTGACAGATTACCCAATCTATTAAAAACTGAAAATCCTAAGTGGAAAAGCAACAATGTGAGGTATTTGGCAGTTAACATTCTATGCAGTGCACCTGCACTCCATTATCAGAGTGCCTGGTTCAAGTCCCTGTCCCTCCAATTCCAATCTAGCTTTCTACTAGTGCATACTCTGAGAGGTGGCTAGTGATGAGTACTTGGGTCCTGGCTATCTACATGGAAAAGCCAAATTGAGTTCCAGGCTCCTTGCTTTAGCCTATCCCAGCCTTTGCTGTTGCAGGCATTTGGAGACTGAACCAGCAGATGGAAGATATTTGTTAGGGTGGCATTGTGACATAGATTAAGCCACCTCCTGTGATGCTGGCATCTTGTATGAACATTGGGTTGGAGTCCCGGCTGCTCCACTTCCCATCTAGCTCCCTTGTAATGCAACTGGAAAACCATCAGAAGATGGCCCAAGTACTCCGCCATTTTGGAAGTGAAGATCTCTCAGTCTCCCCCCTCTCTCAGCAACTCTGCCATTCAAATAAAATAATTTAAAAAAAAAAAATCTTTGTTGCTGTTGCTTTTCAAATAAAATGAAGGAGACAGTGCTGTGGTGGAGTGAGTTAAGCCACCACTGTTTGCAACGCCAGCATCCCAAATGGGCACTCAGCTATTCCACTTCTAATCCAGCACCCTACTAATGAGCTTGGGAAAGCAGCAGAAGATGGCCAAAGTGCTTGAGTTCCTGCCACTCACATGAAAGACTGGAAAGAAACTCCTGGCTTCAGCCTAGGGCCCAATCGTGGCCATCAAAGCCACTTGGAGAGTGAACCAGTGCACAGAAGATATCTCTCTCTCTTTCTGTAACTCTTTCAAATAAATAAATATTTTTAAGATTTAATTATGTATTTATTTGAGAGGTAGAGTTATAGACAGAGAGAGGGAGAGACAGAGACAAAGGTCTACCATTCACTGGTTCACTCTCCAAATGGCCATAAAGGTTGGAGCTGAGCTGATCCAAAGCAACGAGCCAGGAGCTTCTTCTAGGTCTCCCACACGGCTGCAGAGGCCTGAGCACTTGGGCCATCTTTGCTGCTTTCCCAGGCCACAGCAGAGAGCTGGATAAGAAAAGGAGTATCCATGACTTGAAATAGATTCCATATGGAATGCTGGCACTGCGGGTAGCATCTTTACCCGCTATGCCACAGTGCCGGCCACATCAAATAAATAAATCTTTAAAAAAATAAATTCATAGAAAATGTATATTATGAAAAAACTATGCATACCTTAACTAACTTTCCCCACTACTTTTGGTAGTACCAGCTTATCCTTCATTTCCCTAGAATATTTAGACACTTAATCTTTAAATCCTAAACTTAATAATAATTGTTTACAAATCCTGATATACTAATTCTATCATGTCAGCATGTTTAGGTCTATTTCTATTGATTTATTTTTCTTTTATTTATAGGTGACATTTTCTTATGCATTTGAGTACAGAGTTAACACTAAATCCAATTAGCAGTGACCTGCTGGGGCCAGCACTGTGGTGTAGCAGGAAAAGCTGCTGCTTACGGGGCCGGCGCCATGGCTCACTTGGCTAATCCTCCACCTGCAGCACCAGCATCCCATATGGGTGCTGGGTTCTAGTCCCGGTTGCTCCTCTTCCAGTCCAGCTCTCTGCTGTGGCCCAGGAGGGCAGTGCAGGATGGCCCAAGTGCTTGGGGTGCCCACACCTGTGTGGGAGATCAGGAAGAAGCACCTGGCTCCTGGCTTCAGATCAGCGCAGCGCTGGCCATAGCGGCCACTTAGGGGGTGAAACAATGGAAGGAAGACCTTTCTTTGTCTCTCTCACTATCTCTAACTGTCCAAAAAAAAAGCTGCAGCTTGCAATGCCAGCATCGATGGGCGCCGATTTGAGTCCTGGCTGCTCAATTCTGATCCAGCTCCCTGCTAATAACCTGGGAAAAGCAACAGAGGATGGCCCAGGTTCTTGGGCTCCTGCCACTCCCATGGGAAAAAGCTTTTGGCTTTGGTTTTATATAGCCCAGCTCCAGCTGTGTTATGGCCAGCTGTTACGGCCATCTGGGGAGTGAAACAAGCAGATGGGAGATTTGTCTCTGTGTCTCCCTCTCTGTATAACTCTAACTTCCAAATAAATAATAAATCCTTTTTTTTTTTTTTTTAAAAAAAAAAGGAAGAAACAAGAGACTTAACAAAAACAAGTATAATGATGCTGGCGCCGCGGCTCACTAAGCTAATCCTCCGCCTTGTGGCGCCGGCACACCAGGTTCTAGTCCCGGTCAGGGCGCCAGATTCTGTCCCGGTTGCCCCTCTTCCAGGCCAGCTCTCTGCTGTGGCCAGGGAGTGCAGTGGAGGATGGCCCAGGTGCTTGGGCCCTGCACCCCATGGGAGACCAGGAGAAGCACCTGGCTCCTGCCATCGGATCATCACGGTGCGCCGGCCGCGGCGGCCATTGGAGGGTGAACCAACGGCAAAGGAAGACCTTTCTCTCTGTCTCTCTCACTGTCCACTCTGCCTGTCAAAAAAAAAATAATAATAATAACTATAATGAGTATAATAATCCTTGTTAAGGTCCTAATTCAAACAAACCAACTATAAACACACAAACATGATTTAAAAAAAAAAAGTGGATGCTGGCACTGTGGTATAGTGGGTAAAGCCACCACCTATAGTGCCAGCATCCCATATAGGCGCCAGTTCAAGTCCTGGCTGCTCCATTTTTGATCCAGCTCCCTGCTAATGCACCTGGGAAGATGGCCCAAGTCCTTGGACCCCTGCACCCACATGAGACACCAGGAAGAAGCTCCTCACTTCAGACTCACCCAGGTCCAGCCATTGAGGCAATTTGGGGAGTGAATGGCAAACAGAAGATATCTCTTTGTCTCTGTTTCTCTCCATGTCACTCTGCCTTTCAAATAAATTGAGAGAGGGAGAATCTCTTAAAATATGGTAGGTTAAGTTAGAAAACACAGTTAATGAGTATCTACTTAAAATGTGAAATCTGAGATGGTGTTTAGCATAGTAATTAAGATGCTGCTTGGGATACCCTCATTCCACGTAGGAATACTTAGTTTGGGACCTGGTTCCTTCCCAATTTCAACTTCCTGCTCACGTGCACCCTGGCAATCAGTAAGTAATGGTTCAAGTAATTGGGTCCCTGTAACCCAAGTGGGAGACCCAGAGCTGAGTTCCCAGCTTCTGACTTCAGCCTAGTTCAGTCTTGGCTATTGTGGGGTTTGGGGAGAGAACAGGCCAAGGTGAGATCTCTGTGTCTTTTAGAAGATTGTTATTTATTTGAAAAATTATGAAATCTAGGGGCAAGTGTCATGGTGTAGTAGGGTAAGCGCCTGCTTGGGATACCCACATGACATATTAGAGTATCTGATATAGAGTCCTCCTGCTTCTGCTGCCAGTCCAGCTTTCTGATAATGTGCCTGGGAGGCAACAGATGATGGCCCAAGTACTTGGTTTCCTGCCACACATGCGAGATCCAGATGGAGCTCCTGGCTCCTGGCTGGCACAGCCTTAGGTGTTGCAGGCATTTGGAGAGGGAATCAACAAACGGATGACCTATCTCTGTCTCTCCCTCCCTCTCTCTCTGTCACTCTTTCAGGAGGGTAAAAAACAACAACAACAACAACAACAACAACAATGAGGCCAACACTGTGGCACAGAGGGTTAAAGCCCTGGCCTGCAGCACCAGCATCCCATATGGGTACCGGTTCAAGTCCCAGCTGCTCCATTTCTGATCCAGCTCCCTGCTAATGTGCCTGGAAAAGCAGAAGAGGTTGGCCCAAGTACTTAGGCCCCTACACCCATGTGGAAGATCCAGAAGAAAGATGGAGTTCCAGGCTCCTGGCTTCAGCTTAGCCCAGCCCTGGCCGTTGTGGCTATCTGGGGAGTAAATCAGCAGTTGGAAGATCTCTCTCTCTCTCTCTCTCCCTCTCTCTCACCACCGCTACGTAATTCTGCCTTTCAAATAAATTTTTTTTAAATGAAAGAAAGAAATCAGAATCCAAATACACTGCTGGTGGGAATGTAAAACTGCAGAAAACAGTTCCACAGTTCCTTGGACAGTGTTGTGGTATAGTGGTTTAAGCCTCCTGGAACTCCAACATCCCATATCAGAGAGCAGGTTCTAGTACCACTGTTCTGCTTCTAAGCCAGCTTCCTGTCAATGTACTTGGTAAGGCAGCGGAAGATTGCCCAAGTGCTTAAGACCCTGCCACGCATGTGGAAGATCTAGATGGAGTTCCATGCTCCTGGTTTCCATCTGGCCCAGACCTGCCTGTTGTAGCCATTTGGAGAATGAATTAACAGATAGAGGATCCCTGTGGTCTCTCCTCTCTGTCATTCTGCTTTTCAAATAAATAAATCTTAAAACAAAAGTAGGAGCTGACATTGTGGCATAGCAGGTTAAGCCATGGCTGGCAGTGCCAGCATCCCACACGGGCACCAGTTCAAGTCCTGGCAACTCCAATTCCAATCCAGCTCCCTACTAATGTACCTAGGAGAGCAGCGGAGGATGGACCACATCCTTGCATCCCTATACCCACGTGGGAGACCTACAAGAACCTCCATGCCCCTGGCTTCCAACTGGCCTATCTCCAGTCATTGTGGCCATTTGGGGAGTGAACCAGTGGATGGAAGCTCTCTCTGTGTCTCTCCATCTCTCGCTCTGTAACTCTGCTTTTGAATAAACAAATAAATATTTTTAAAAAAAGTAAGGGCCCCGAGTTGTGGCTTAGCAGGTAAAGCAGCCACCTTAAACATCGGCATCCCATATGGGCTGGTTTGAGACCCAACTGCTTCACTTCTGATCCAGCTCTCTGCTATGGCCTGGGAAAGCAGTAGAGGATGGCCCAAGTCCTTGGACCCCTGCACCCACGTGGGAGATCCAGAAGAAGCTCTGGCATTTGCAGACATTTGGAGAGCGAACCAGCGGATAGAAGACCTCGCGCGCTCTCTCTCTCCTCTGCTTCTCTGTAACTCTTGCAAGTAAATAAATATTAAAAAGAAATGAGGGGGCCGGCACTGTGGCAGGTAAAGCCACCGTCTGCAGCGCCAGCATCCCATATGGGCACCAGTTCAAGACCCGGCTGCTCTACTTCCATTCCAGCTTTCTGCTATGGCCTGGGAAAGCAGTAGAGGATGGCCCAAGTCCGTGGGCCCCTGCACCCACGTGGGAGACCTGGAAGAAGCTACTGCCTCCTGGCTTCGGATCAGCACAGCCCTGACCATTGTGGCCAATTGGGGAGTGAACCAGCAGATGGAAGACCTCTACCTCCCTCTCCTCCCCGCTCTCTCTGCCTCTCCTTCTCTCTGTATGTAACTCTGACTTTCAAATAAATAAATAAATCTTCAAAAAAAAAAAAAAAAAAAGAAATGAAGTACTGATACTTACTACCAATCTAGAAAACATGCTAAGTGAAAGAAACAAGGTCACTTATACAATTCCATGCATATGAAATATTGAGAATAGAAAAATATGTAAAGGCAAAAAATCAGATTGTTTTCTAGAGGATTTCAAAGATAGAGGAGCTTGCAGTAATATTTAATAAGCAAAGTTTCCTTTTAGGATGATGAAAATGTCTGAAATTATGGCTATCCAATACTCTAAATGTACCAAATGCCACTTAATTGTGCACTTTAGAAGTTCATTTTGAAACACTTCTTGGCCTTTTCTCTAAGATCAACTGTGAAAGTTAATTTTGGGGGCCAGCGCAGTGACTCACTTGGTTAATCCTCTGTCTGCAGCACCGATATCCCATATGGGCGCCAGGTTCTAGTCCCGGTTGCTCTTCTTCCAGTCCAGCTCTCTACTGTGGCCCAGGAAGGCAGTGGAAGATGGCCCAGGTGCTTGGGCC